CCTAAATTTTTTAATTAGCTTCAATAATGTTCCAATCTACAAAGATCTGTACAGTGTAAATTGAGAATAAAGGACTAAATGTATCTACAAAAACCTCAGATTCACAAAACAATGAAACCGGAGGCAGATTATCAGATGTGAAAAATGATCTCCAAAGAGTCTTTCAAAGAGAATCTGTCCTACGGTGTTTTTTTTTTTTTTTTTTTTTTTTTCTGGTAATTTAGTTATTCACAAAGAAAATATATATTGAGTGTCTGCTATATGGAAGTCACTGGGTAAGCACACCCAAGATTGAGAGGGAAATGGTTGGTTCCTGTCCTCTGCACCTCCCTCAGTGAGGACTGTAGGAATTTCAGTATTTTAGAGATGGTGGCCCTGGAACAGATCACCCACAGACCAAAGAGACTAAAGGAAAGGGAATAGAAAAAGAACAGCACCTTGAAAGTTCGTTAGGCTCTAAAATACTGCCCTCATGTGACTTCATCAAGTTATTATGATTTATCTAAGCTTCAGTTCCTCCTCTTTAAGATAGAATGATGTGAAGATCTAATTCTAGAATTGTAAGGCTTTAATTTTCTCAATAGGACATATTTCCCCATGTTGTTAACTAAGTTGAACTTGATTCTTCCCAACTTTCCACGTAGTTTCCTGCTAGAGACATGATTCAGGGTAGAGCTCAAATAGACCCAAACCTTCCATCATAACATGCAGTTGGGGAAATGAAGCGTTCCTTGTATTTGACTGATTTCAGTAGGCATCCTACAAAACTCAAATCAGGCTAGAGATATGGCTGAGACTTGAATTTCCAATTTCCTGTCCTGAACTGAAAAATACCAAACAATCAAAGACTATAAAGAACAATTCCTCCATTCTCGATGCTAGTTATTGAACTGAAGTATAATGTAGTCTTTCCTTCTCTAACTGTATAAAGTGAAATTTGAAAGCTTGGCCAACTACAGCTTTTCCCTAAATTATGGTTTAAGAATAATGCTATCAAATTCCAGAGCTGTTTCATTTCTTCTTCATTTTTATTATTATTATTTTGATTTGGTTTAAGATTCTACTATGGTCCATTCTTTTGGAAAGAATTGATGTTGGTTTATTACATAATAATAATTTTTAAAAGAATATTATACAATTCTGGGTTGGGTTTCCAGGGTGTTCCCCAACGCTGAGTCTCAATTGTGTCTCTTTAACATGATTTAAAGGTCTCCCGGAATGCCTGTTGAAATCATTCATACGCAGGGAAAATTCCATTTCCTAAACAGAAAAGGTTTGTTCGGTGTGAACCCTACCCTAAATTTCGTGTCGAATGTGTACAAGGCAACCACAGAGGCCCTGGGAAGGCACTCCAGATCGCCAGGTACAGGATTTCTTACTTGCAGAGTGAGAACGGACCCTTTAAAAAACAGAGACAGGGCCGGGTGCGGTGGCTCACGCCTGTAATCTCAGCACTTTGGGAGGCCAAGGTGGGCGGATCACAAGGTCAGGAGTTCAAGACAAGCCTGGCCAATATGCTGAACCCCGTCTCTACTAAAAATACCAAAAAATTAGCCGGCTATGGTGGCACACGCCTCTAATCCCAGCTACTCAGGAGGCTGAGGCAGGAGAATTGCTTGAACCCGTGAGGCAGAGGTTGCAGTGAGCGGAGGTTGCAGTGAGCCGAGATCGCGCCACTGCATCCAGCCTGGGCAACAGAGTGAGACTCTGTCTCAAAAAAGAAAAAAAAAGAAAGAAAAAGTTGTTTCCTAATAGAGATAAGATTTGGGGGTAGAGCAAAATCCTAATACAAAGCGTTTATTTCAGGCAGCAGAATAACATTGAAGAAATACTTTTAATCTCAGGCTATTTCTGCAGATTTGGAACAAAATCTTTCCCTGTAATTGCTCTCCCACTCCACCCACCCCTTGGACATGGCAATTCTACTCTAAGAGAGAAAAACATGACTTCAAAGCACATGCAATGGAACCTCTTGTCAGCACTGATACGGTGTGTACCAAGAAACAGAAAAGTTCACGGGTTCAAGCATTCTAATGCTCTTTTTATGGTGGGGGTGAAGAATGGGGGTGGGTGGCAATTTAGGGAAGAAGGGGAGGGAGAAGAAAGGGCAGCAGACACAGCAAAGTCAAACTGGATGAAACAGGCTGTTTTACTTTTAACTTCTCTAAAAGTACAGTCTGGGTTTCTGGGGGCGAACCAGTTAAGGGTTTTCTTCCGCTTTTACTTCTTGCCTATGCTCAAGCCTCCCTGGTCAGTTCTTGGACTCATCTGGGCCCTAATTTCGTCACTTTAAGTAAATGTGGGGTTGGCAGAGGAGGACAAGACCTCTTGTTCACTCCTGAAAGAGTCAGTGGTCATTATATAGGTATTACGTTGCTAACCTTACAAAGCGTGCCCCTGGTCACATGAATGGATCAAAGCAAATCCATTTCCATGATCAGAAAAGCAGCTCAAAGCACGTGTTCTCTTGATAGTGCCCACAGTCACTTCTGTATGGTTAACAAATACCATTTATTGAACACTCACCCTGGACACTACTGCGGGATATGACAATGAATAAACTGCTCAATGAGGTCAAGACATCTAGCAAGGGAAGCAGGCACTCAAATGGCAGAAACACTGTAAGCCTGCAGAACTGGACTCCCACCTTACCATTCCGTTCTCTGTTATGTTTGCCATCCCCACCTCAGGTGCTGGTGGTGAGTGCCGCAGAGGCTCTGGCTTATGGTTTGGTAATTTGGTATCTGGAAATGATTAAAAACATCTTTTAAAATAAAAACGTCACTTTTCTCCTCCCTTGCTTCCCTTCCTCAACCATTTAAACTCACAGCTTTACAGAAAGAAATGAAGACCGCGCACTGTGTTACCAAGGTTAAGTCCAGTTCGATATAATGAATGGTAAAGCATTACACTGAGTCAGAAAAGTTGTATTCAAAAGTCGCTACAGGGAAAGAAAGAATTCAGTCACCTCAGATTATAGAACTTGGCCTATGATAATTATAATTGCTGTTTTCTAAACTTTTAGGATGCACCAGGGACTACTCAATCTCTTCTGCATGTACTATCACAATTAATCCTTTTATAAGGTAACAATTATTACCCCTCTTTTATTATAGACAAAAAAACAGGCTTCATGTGGCTAGTGATTTGGTATGAAGGGAAAGCCTGGATTTGAACCTAGGTTTGCCTGACCTGCAGCCGTGCCTGTAGCCACCACAATGGAATGCTTCAAGGGGCAGCACTGAAATTTAACGAGGAATTTGTAAGGCAACCTACACAATCCAAAATGTCACCAGTCTGAAACACCCCAAAAACCCCTGTTTGAGATGAATGCTGCATCTGTCATTTAAAAGTACTACAGTGTTATACGCTCTTAAAGGAAAGGGTGTTGACCAAAGAAGCCAAGTTATGTGTATGTGGTCGCAGGCAACATTTCTTTTCCATATTTGCGGTACAAAACAACCAGAAGAACAAACTTCTTCCCTTCCTCTTCCAAGGGCACTGGAAACATAAATTCTTGCTCTTTAAACTGAAAGAAGCAATAAAAGCTGGACACCATCGGGTAGATTTCAGGCACTAAAAACAAAATGATCGAGTAACAGTACGGATAGCAATATCTACCTACCTACCTATCTACCTATGTTGTGTCTCTAGGTACACATATAATTATTGTGCATCTGCTGACAAACATCCATTTCAAGATTGTGTTCACATACACATTTTCCCAACCATCACGGCAAGCTGAGAGGAGAGGTATGTATTCCCATTTTTCAGATTAACAAGAAGCCGCACTTGATAAAGCAGAACCAGGGAGAATTCGTTTAAGACATTTCTTGACAATTCCTGGACTTCGAAAGGGGCAAGTGAACACCTCGATCTCCTTTCGGCTGCTCAGGGGGCAGTTTGCACACAGAATTTCAAATCTAGTGGGCGGTTCCACAGATCGTTTTCGATGACCACTTTATTTTGCAGATGAGGAAACTTGGGCCCTGAGAGACCTGCCTAGGGTCTGGTCAGCGGTATGACACAGGTCTCCAGACTTAGTTTCCACCGCCCTCCAGAATCCTCTGTGAAATTAGAGACACAGCACGTTGATTTCAAATGTGAAATGGCAGAGTTCTGTTTATTTCCCCAGAGCCAACAGAGCCGGAGCGGGCGGCTCTTCCAGGCTTTGGGAACCCGGACCCGTCCCCAGGCCCAATCGGCACCCACGCTAGCCCAGGCCCGCCCAAGGTTCCCCCGGGTCCCGCGCCCCGCGCTCCCTCTCAAGCTAACCCCTGCCCGCGGTAAGCGGGGCTCGGAGGCTCCTTCGCAACAAAAGGCTAAATTCGGTTTCCCCGGTTCCGCATTTCCCCAGGGAGCTCTCCTCGTAAAACTATTGCCCGTAAAGACTGCAGGGCAGAGGTCCAGGGCGCTTTGCTGGGAGCCTCGGGGCCCCGGGCTGGGGGCCGTCGGGCGGCACCTGGCGGGCCAGCGAGCGGGCGGGCGGGCGGCGAGCGAAGGCTTCCCGGCCTGGCAGCAGCTCGCCCCTCCGCCCTCTGCCCTCCCGGCTCCGCTCCCCTCCCCCACGCCGCCCTGCCCCTCCCCCACGCCCCTTTCTCTTTCTTTCTTTCCCAGCTCTCTTGCCCCCACCCCAGCGGCGCCCGCCGGGCTCCTCGCCCAATGGCCGCGGGGCCGGGGAATGCATCAGCTGATCGGCCCGGGCTCCCGGCCGCTGGGAGCCAATCAGGGCACCGGGGGCGGCCCCCGGCCGCGGATAAAGGGTGCGGGGCCGCGAGCGGCCTTGCAGAGTCGAGAGTGGGAGAAGAGCGAAGCGTGTGAGCAGCACTACGGCCTCCTCTCCTCCTAACCTCGCTCTCGCGGCCTGCCTTTACCCGCCCGCCTGCTCGGCGCCCAGGTAAGCCCCCGGACGGCCCGGTGGCACCCAAGCGACACGCACCGCCCCTGCTACCCCGCGAGGCGCGCCACCCAGCCTCTTTTTTCGGCCACCTGCCCCTCCAGTCCCAGCCCTACGCTGCGGCCTCTCTGGCCCGGGCCTGAGGTCCGGCTCCAGTCCTCCTCCCGCGTGCTTCCGTCGCCGATGGCTTGGACCCTCCGGGGCTGGCGCTGGTGGGGCGCGCCCTTGGCCAGGCTCTGGGAAGGGCGGGGTGAGTTGTTTTGATCTTCTTTTCACTACTTGCGGCCCAAGCGCCGCCCCTGGAGGCCTTTGGGCTGGCCCGCGCCCTGGGGCTCACAGTGGTGTTTGCGCTGTGGATGGAGTGGCAGTGCGGTCCCCTGCAGAGCGCAAACAAGGCGCTTGGTTGGCGCGGGCGCCTCGCTGCTTTCCTCGTGGTGGGGCAGTCGTCGTGGTTCTGGCGATCGTTGAGACGCCTCGATTGCGGCGTGTAACAGTGAGCGTTGTTTGCGCGGCCGGCTCCCGCCTCGGGGTCCCGGGGGCCTTCCAGTGTGACCGAACAATGGAGAGCCCGGGCCTCGGCGCAGTCGGTGGAGAAGCTGGGCCGGGCGGAGGCAGCAGCAGCGCGCGGTCCCTCCGGCCTGCGCCCCCACCCTCCCCGGGGACCCCGCAACCCCTCGGCGGTGGGGTATGGCCACCTCCGTGAGGCCCTGAGATTCAGACGGGGGCCCGAGGGGCGGGGCGCCCGCTTTAGGGACATTTCAGTGGGAAGGGGCTGCTCTCAAAGTGGATAATTACAACTCCCTCGGGGGCGGGAAGCGGGGATCCTCCCCCAGCCGCAAGTTCACGAAGAAAGCAACCAATGAAAATTATGAAGACGACGAGAAGTCAGACTCCTCCGGGTCGCCCTCCAACTGTTTCGGCTTCGTCGCCTACTCCGTGAACTCCGGGGAGAAATCTCGAGTCAAGATTAAGACCTTAACCCACCAACCGGCCTGTTTCGACACCCCCCGGGCCGACCGCTGTCTGTCCCCTTCTCCATCGCCCTCGCCCAGAAAGCTCCGGTGCTTGGACCAGCTCGAGTCTGAGAAAGAGGAGAGGCGCGAACGCCACTCCAAAAAGAGAAGGGCTAAGGAGGGCAACCCTAACAATACGCTTGACTTTCTGTGGCTGGGGTGAGTGAGGGGGCAGGGAGGACGACCCCGGAGTTGGTGAGAGCTGCAGAAACGGCTAAAAGCTTCAGAATCCGTTCCCCCCAACATAAACTTGGCGCCACGGCAGCAGCAGTTGATAGAGTGCTGGCATCCAGCTGGCTCACGGAAAAGAGCAGGAGATCCGAAACAGGCTTAGGACAAAGTGTGCATGATATTGGTGGTGTAACAGGTTGGAGAGGACAGCTGAGAAATTGGGTTGTAGCTTTTTTTTTTTTTTTTTTCCCCACCGACAGAGTCTCGATCTGTCGCCCAGGCTGGAGTGCAGTGGTGCAAGCTCCCGGCTTACTGCAACCTCTAGCTCTAGGGTTCAGGCGATTCTCCTGTGTCAGCTTCCCGAGTAGCTGGGATTACAGGCGGGCACCACCAGGCCCGGCTAATTTTTGTAGTTTTAGGAGAGACTGGGTTTCACCATGTTGGCCAGACTGGTCTCGAACTCCGTACCTCAGGTGATCCGCCCGCCTAGGTGGGTTGTAGCTTTTAGCGGGAGCTGAAGGGTTCTGGGACGGAGGTGGGAAGTAGGATTTGGCCGACTGAATCTTCTAGAGGCAATATTGGGGTGTTGGTCTTCCCCAAGGGGAAGGGTGGTGAGGCTGTCAGAGGGAGAAGCAGTTATGTTTTCAGCTGGGCAAACATGGACGGTTGCCCGTAGAAACTTTGCCACTGTACTTCAGAACGTTGCCCTAGTCGTTGGAGGAGAACAATGTGTTCCCTTTCTAGCCATCCTGGGCCACGGAGGGAGGAACGTTTCCTCTTCGGCTGTTGTGGCTTCAGAGTTTCTGTTCTTTCAGAGGTTTTGTGGTAGTGGTTGGCAGTTATTAGTATGCCTTATGGCTTTTAAAATTCCAGATCTTTTTTATTTCGAAGTGGAAATTTCCTAATTACTTGAAGTCTTCTTGTGGAATTCCATAATGTTGTGATTCTTGCTCACTATCTTAAGTGAAACTTTGCGTGAGACCTATGGAAAGTATGGCAGCATGCCCCTTAGAATCTGGTTTGAATCAGCTTTTGTTGTAGGAAACTGCTAGCCTTTAAAAAAAAAAATATTGTAACCTTGTTTCATCAAATCTAAATGTGTAGTGGGTTTTCTTTTGGTGGGGAGTGGCTGTGGGTTTCAGTTAAGACCACAGCTAGGATGAAAGGCAAAGAGAAAAACAGAAACCTTGGAAGCCAAGCCTGTTCTGTGGCTGGATTTTACTTGTATTGGAAGAAGTTCTATGTTTTGTAAATTTGTGTATTGGTTTGGTTTGTTTCCTCTGATAGATTAGTATTTGGATAGTTTAGTGTTACCTCAGCTACACTGAAGGAATAGACAGTCCTCACAAGTGTAAGTTCCAACTTGGAAGCCTGGGATCTGCAGTAGCTGTGGAACTTAAGCCTTTGAGCTCAGAGATGCAAGAGGCATTGAGTTACTACCAAGGGCCTGATCTTTTCTTTAGCAGGCATCTGTGTTAATTGCTTCAAAAGGTGGTGATCAGTTTTACAGCCTATTATAAAGGAGATTTTCGCCTACTATAAAACTAATGCCCCTGAAAGAGTGAGTAAACATAACTTTCTGTGTGTTGACTTCCACAGGGGAAGGAGTTGGCACTTACACCTTGATTCACAACTTTTGATTCAGTTGTCCCTCTGAAGCCATTTTTGCAGGGGATCAGTTTGGAGTGCGCGTTAACAATGTTATCTTTTTTCTCTCTCCAGAACACCTTCCACCATGACCACCTCAGCAAGTTCCCACTTAAATAAAGGCATCAAGCAGGTGTACATGTCCCTGCCTCAGGGTGAGAAAGTCCAGGCCATGTATATCTGGATCGATGGTACTGGAGAAGGACTGCGCTGCAAGACCCGGACCCTGGACAGTGAGCCCAAGTGTGTGGAAGGTGAGACAGCAATGTGGAGTGGAGCACACGCTGGGTGGGATCTGCAGAGGGGTGGGCCTTTGACTCAGCCTCTGGATTAGGCCTCTTTATTCTGTTTGTAAAGCTTTTCTAAGGCAGGGCTTTCCAGACTTCATTCAGTCAACATGAAGCTCCTACACTGCCTCAAAGCAGAGCAACAATGGAACCCTTTATTTAAATGGAATTGTGCATGTAGGCCAGTGTATTGAAGAAAAACTAAGTCTGGTTTATGGAGAGTTGGCATGGGGCTTAGAGATTGCCGACCTGGGCATCCCCACTTACCTGACTCTAAGGCACCCTCAGAAAACCACTGCTCTAACCTGAGAATGCCATCTAGTTTACAAACTCTTAGAAAACTGTACTTAATACTCACATCACTGGGCTTCTAGATGTGAAGCAAATGCTCTAAAATGGTTTTCAAATAGGACTGATTTTTACTTGATGGCACTTTTGGAAATTCTTAAACTGTCTTAATTGCTTATCCCTCTAGGAGCTACAGTTAGATTATAGTTGTGACCTTCATTTTTCAGTCTAAAACAAGCCATAGTCTTCCCTCTTCCAGAAAGGGGCCAAGTATCACCTTCTACCTAGTTTAGGATAGCTTACTTTTCCTTTTTGAATAAGTGAATGATCATAATACAAAGCCTATATTGTGTACTTGCTATGTGGCAGATAGTTCACAGACACTGAAGATACAAAGTGAGGGTCTGGTCTCTGCCTTCAGAGAACTCAGTCAGCTAGAGAGACAAAGCAGTCTTTAAAACAGTGGGAAAGGTGGATAGGTAATAAGGGAACATCCTTGAGTAAGTCATCCTTCTAGTTGTTCCCTCATCTATAAAATAAGGACATTACTTGCCAGAATACACTGGGGGCATGAGAAGAAGGAAGCGACACATTGCCTAATGGAAGAATCAGAATCCTTCACTATCTCAGTATTTTAAGTGACTGATAGGCTGGTAATGGTAACAGAATGCTTCAGTTTGTCTCCTGGAAGACATTTGGGAAGGGAGTGTCTGATGTATTTAAGGAAGTGGTACAGTGGTCTTACTTGGAACTCAGATAGGAAGGGCTGTAGGATCAGGTACAGGTGCCAGGGTATACATATTAATGATGGCATTTATGCCTTAATAACTTCCTGAAAAAGAGATCTTTAGAGATGGGAAGGTGAGTGAAGGGCTGGCTATATTTGCATTGCTTGGAAAGCTCCTGTACGTTTTAAATGTAATTTTCCCTCTTTTTGCCCCAGAGTTGCCTGAGTGGAATTTCGATGGCTCTAGTACTTTACAGTCTGAAGGTTCCAACAGTGACATGTATCTCGTGCCTGCTGCCATGTTTCGGGACCCCTTCCGTAAGGACCCGAACAAGCTGGTGTTGTGTGAAGTTTTCAAGTACAATCGAAGGCCTGCAGGTATGTATAGCACAGCTATAGATTCCTCTCCTCAATCTGTGAATGCTGTGAAGGGGAGGGAGGAGACATTCTGCAATCAGTATTGGGAAGACTAGGCTATTTCATGACTGTTTTAAGAATCTGAGTGATTGAGCCTCTTCCCTGAACTTCTCCTTTGAGGAAGAGATAATATGGCCCATCTTTCTATGGTCTTGTCTGTTGGTAGCATAAAATAGCATTTGATTTGTCCAGATCTGTTTGCCGGTCTTGGAGTCCCCAGTAACAGCCCTCCTGCCTGGAATGTAGGCCAGGACAAATGTAAACCAATGGACAAATGATTCTCAAAAACTATAGAATGGCTCCAAGTGTCTGAGAAATGAAGAATAAATCTAACAACCAGAAGCAGCTGTCTTGTGAATAGAGGGTTAAGTGCCTGGCATTTGGTGCTTGGAAGGTGGCCAGAATGCAGATAAGGTGAAAGTTGCCCTGTTCTAAATCCATTCTCATGTGACTTGGTTGTAACTGAGTTTAGTTAAAACTGAAGTCTTGCAGAGTCTTCCTACAGATGTACAGTTATAGCTTCTCTCATTTTTCTGACTCAGTGACTCAGTGATCCCAAGAAGGCCTATACTGGGTCATTTCAGCCCATAGTGCACACCTCAGTTGTATAGAATCCAAAGACTGTTCTCCCATCAGCATCGGTATTCAGCATCAGATCCCTGATGGCGTATTGTTCACTCTTTTTTCTAGAGACCAATTTGAGGCACACCTGTAAACGGATAATGGACATGGTGAGCAACCAGCACCCCTGGTTTGGCATGGAGCAGGAATATACCCTCATGGGGACAGATGGGCACCCCTTTGGTTGGCCTTCCAACGGCTTCCCGGGGCCCCAGGGTAAGTCTTCTTGGGTTAGAGGTGAAATTCCCAGAAGTGTCTTAACGGTTCCAGAATGCCCCTTCCCAGGGATGGGAGTGACTTTCTGAATCAAGAAGCAAAATAATACAGTAAAGGCGAAACAGCCCTCATATCACCAAAGTCCAAAAATGGATATAAATGTATAAAGTAAGGTTTTAGGGGGAAGCTTTGGCCCCACAGGTGAAGAGGAACTCCCCTGTTGCCCCTCCCCTGCCCTGTACCTACAGATGAAGGCAAGGATAGTGATTCAAGAGGGCAAGGCTTAAGGGCCTTCTGATCTCTGACTTTGGGATTCTCTGGATTTCTTGACTCTTAGCGTTTTGTCTTGATGCTTTTGTAGGTCCATATTACTGTGGTGTGGGAGCAGACAGAGCCTATGGCAGGGACATCGTGGAGGCCCATTACCGGGCCTGCTTGTATGCTGGAGTCAAGATTGCGGGGACTAATGCCGAGGTCATGCCTGCCCAGGTAAATATAGCTCCAGTCCATCAATGATGAAGGACAGGTAGGTGCATATAGGACTTTTGCTAGTAAGGGCTGCTGATACACCACTCACTAACCCAAAACCTAAGAATGGGTTGGAGTAGAGGTGAGAAGAGAACAGGTTTAGGAGCTTCTGAGTTGGAGTGAGCAGTTGGCTTTTTTTAATGGCCAAGCTTCTCGTTTCTAGTGGGAATTTCAAATTGGACCTTGTGAAGGAATCAGCATGGGAGATCATCTCTGGGTGGCCCGTTTCATCTTGCATCGTGTGTGTGAAGACTTTGGAGTGATAGCAACCTTTGATCCTAAGCCCATTCCTGGGAACTGGAATGGTGCAGGCTGCCATACCAACTTCAGCACCAAGGCCATGCGGGAGGAGAATGGTCTGAAGTGAGTACCTTCTGCTGGGGCCATCTTTAATCTCCTGTGGCAGAAAACTTGGGAAGAGACTTATCAATCTCTCAGCAAAGTCTCCTTTGCAGGATGACTTGCAAATATTTACCAGAGTTAAGTAAACTTCTCAGTCTGGACGTACCTTAGCTGTTGACACTTGCCTTCAAATTCTCATTTTGTTCCTGTTTGAAAAATACCAAATAATACTTCTGATTCACAGTGATAATTATTATATAAATTATAACAAATAATTATTAGTCATATATCATTATATAAACATATTGATATATATTTGTGACATATATATGTCGTGATAGGGAAAAGTTGACAAATTCATGCATTTGAAAATCTTTTAGAACTAAATTAGTTAATAATACAGGCATGTGGATAAGCTTAATGCTTATGAGGGGGAGAAAGTTTCAAATGATTGGTCTTTTCAACAAATACTTTCTACTGCTTGTCGGGCACTGTTCTGACCACTGAGACACACAGGTAAGAAGACGAAGCCACTGCCTTCATGAAGTGTTTGTACCACTGGTATCATATTTTGGTGCACTTCATTCTTGGCTCCATACCTGGAGACAAGGCTGGACTGCCATCTTTTCTGTTTCTTCTAGGTACAGGATTCTCTGGATTTCTTGACTCTTAGCGTTTTG